TTTCTTCTGACTAAAGTATATCCTTTAGAATTTTCTTCATTAAAATCTCTTGGTAGCAAATAATCTTAATTTTTGTTCATCTTAAAATGCTTTCTCCATTATTATTTTTTAAAGAAAGCCCATTTTATTCCACAAAAATAAGGTGGGTTCTGGGAACAAGAACCCAGCAGCACTTGTCCATTTGGGCCTTCAGGGTCCTGGTGGTGATTTTGTCCTTCTCAATGATGTGGACAATAACTTTCATGCCTGACACTGAATACCAGTCCACAGCATACATCATGGCTTGGGAGATAGTGTCAAATAAGTATTCTGGATCCATGTTGGGCTCCTATATATATAGTCTCTGGGTATAAAATCCCAAGTGGGCAGTTACTTTCACTGAGCATACTGAAATTATCACTGCACTCTTTCTGGCTTCTATTATTGCTGCTGAAAAGTCATCGGTTAGTTTAAATTTCACTCTTTAAAAATAATTCTCACTTCTCTTCCTTTGGCTGCTTTTAAGATAGTCTCTTTGTCTTGGGTAGTTTTACTCTAGTATATACAGAGTGTTTTCCTTTTTATTTATACTGCTTGAAACATTTAGCTTCTTGAATATGTTTGGTATTTCATCAGTTCTGAAAGCTATTTCCAGAAGAAGCAGTCAGCATTGTAAATGCTCACAAATTGTTCTTCATCCTCTGCAGTACTTTGCAGTAGCATCTGGCTGGCTGAGGTACAGATTTGGCTTTTGCTGGAAGGACAGTTAACCTATTACCAGCAGTTGGCTACCATGGATCACATGCACCTTCTTTTTGATGGTAGTTGTATATGGCTGTAGGATACCTATGTAGCAGACTTTTTTTGCCACTGGATGGTTCATGGCAGGAGCTTGTGGGGATTGTGCTTTAATGAATACTGGTAACAAAATTACCTTTGAGTTTAATGGCTTTTTCCCCATGCTTGCCACATCTGCTACTGTGACAATATCAGATAACATAGATAAGCTGAATGAAAGAATAACATTCAGAAGTTGAAGAAGTCTCCTGTTTACTGGCTTATTTGGTGCCATCGATAAGGAAACCTGTGGAGAGTTTCAGTATATTTCTGCACTTTATAAGAAGTTCACGAGAAGCTTTATATTCCGATTTCATAGGTGATATTATAACAGTGATCTGTCAGAGGTGTTGCAAACATTCCTGCATGCCACAAATTTCTGCCAACATTTTGTGACCCACTGGAACATCTTTGAATTTATCTAACTCACCTAATAGTTTCAATACTTATCATGATAGTGACTCTGTCTGGAACTAATTAAGAGAACAACTAGAGGTACTCTTAGAAGGTCAGCTAGGTAAACATGCCAGTGAATTGCCATTTGAGAGCACAAGTTTGTTTCTGATGGTCTGAAGTTATGTGGCTATAAAGCCATAGATGAAAAAAACCATAGTCCAGATTAATGATACTGCAATATGTGTCAGCAATAGTTAGCATTGGAGGAAATGTTGAGAGTTAAAGAATTTTAACATGGGAGCACAACAAGCTTGTTTTTGATGGTCTGAAGTTACATGGCTATAAAGCCATAGTCCAGATTAATGATGTTGCAATATGTGTCAGCAATAGTTAGCATTGGAGGAAATGTTGAGAGTTAAAGAATTTTAACTGGAGGGAAAATAAAACAGCTGCTATTTATTTTTCCTAGCTGGCAGAACCAATTGCCTTCAGGACTGATTTCCCCAAGGAAATCCCCTCTCACACATGACAGAGGTTGAGAGGACTAGTCTGTTGCTTTCAGTGAAGAAGTTCAGCCTAGAGATCACTTGACCTGTAAGAGTGGTGATTTGGGGATGGTTGTTACCAAAAGGATACCTGAGCTACCCTGACATTGAATTAACAATGAAGAAAATTGTGAAATATTGTTAAAATAGTTAACTATTTTAAACTGCACATGAACTTTATGGGCATCCTGTGTAATATCTAAAGAATGTGTCCCCTCTAAAGTTCAGATGGTAGTATTGAGGAGGGTGAAGCCTTCAAAAGGTAATTAAGTCATGAGGGCTCCTCCCTCATGAATGGAATCATGACCCTTATAATAAAGACTTCACACAGCATTTAGTCTCTTGCCCTTCTGCCTTCTGCCATGTGAAGACAGTGTTCCTCCCCTCAGGAGGTTAAAGCAGCAAAGCACCATCTTAGAAGCAGGTGCCATGTCCCTCACCTGACATTGAATCTGCCAGCATCCTGACCTTGAATTGTCCAGTTGCCAGAACCACGAGAAATAAATTTCTTTTCTTTAAAATTACCCAGCTTATGGTATCTTGTTATAGTAGCACAAACAGATTAAGACACCTTTGTTACCATAAATGTGTACAACATTTAGTTTATAGCTGTTGACCATTCTTTATAAATTTGTATGATTTTTAAATTACACGTCAAACTTATAAGAACAAGTTTTGAAAGTGTTCTCTTTATTATTCCAGTATATTCCTGATGTGGAATTAGTTCTTTTTGACATTCTTTTGTCCTCTAACACTAAGGTTAACCTTAGCTTGGCTTTCCTAGACTATAACATATCACAATTAGTTTCTGAGTAAATTATCATTCTCTGCTTGTTGAATTAAATATGATATTCCCCTAGTTACAACTGCACAGCTTCCAATAGTGTGAACTATAATCAATAGGTTATAGAGACATAGTTTATTCTCAAAATCAGGAACTCAGTGACTTATACCAAATCTCTTCAAAAAGTTTTTGAACTTTCGACATTAATAAAAATATATTAACACTTTCCTAAAGGAAGTGAGACACTATTCCTATTGCAAGATGATCAAACTTGTACTACATTATGCTGAAAAATCTGAAATAATGATTGAGAGCAATGCATTGGATTTTGGAATTTTGAAGCCATTGTTATCTTTAATAAGGAAGAGATTTGTCCAGGAGATACAGGTGTGAATGCATAAGATAAGTGCAAATTTTGTCATTTCCAGAGGAGGATAACTATAGTGATAAGGAGACTCTTTTGAAAGAACTAGAATTGTTTTACAATGTCTGCCCCCAAATCATATAAAATGATGCCATTCATTAAAAGAGTAGTCTCTTAATATGCATATTCATGAATTAAAGTGATAAAAATAATTGTAATATAAGGAGCATTATTCTCTTTAGGAATTGAATGTGACATAGTTATGATATAATGGGTGAATTTGAGGAGTTTGGAATCACATGTAACTTGGTTCAATCTGGAGCGTGCCATTTTTATTTCAGCTCTATCATTTTATGCTCTCCACCTGTAGGGATGAAAAAGGTACTTACTTCACTGGGCTGATGTGAGAATTAAGGAAAGATATGATGTTTAGAAATCACTTAATACAATTCTGAGTAGAAAATAAAATGCTCAAAAATCACTCAATATTTTCAACCATTTATATTGCAGCATGATGACTCTCCTGTCACCAGAAATAGGAAGGCACGTAAAGAATGGCTGCTTATCATCATTGTGGTAGAATGTGAATTAATGCAGAACTTCATGCATATACTTGACCTTTAAAGTCCATCCTGAATTTGAGACATCACATTTATATTAATCTACTGTGTAATATAATAATTATTTAAAAGTAGATTACATGTTGGGGCAGCACCTGTGGCTCAGTGGGTAAGGTGCTGGCCCCATATCCCGAGGGTGGCAGGTTCAAACCCAGCCCCAGCCAAACTGCAACAAAAAGTAGCTGGGCGTTGTGGCGAGTGCCTGTAGTGCCAACTACTCGGGAGGCTGAGGCAAGAGAATAACTTAAGCCCAGGAGTTGGAGGTTGCTGTGAGCTGTGACACTATGGCACTCTGCTGAGGGTGATAAAGTGACACTCCATCTCAAACAAATAAATAAATAAAAATAAAAGTAGATTACCTGTTTAAAATTGTATGATTACATTAAGGCAATTAACTCATAGTTTTTTCTATAGCGTTCTCTTTTGTGAACACTATGTAATTAACTCATTAGCAAAGTCTTCTTGTATCTTTCCTTCAGATTGAAAGACAGAAGGGCACACCTTGATAAAGTAAGGAAAACATAATAGGAACCAGGATTAAGGGACTGAATACTTGCAAACATAAAATATTAATTATTTGAAAGCAGAGTTGTGTCAAAGGCTGACTTCAAGTCCTTTATCAATCTCTCAACTCCCTGCATACTTTGATTTGGAAGTTGGCCTTATCACATTGTTTGGTTAAGTACTACACAAAGATACCTTCATTCCCCAGCATTTCACATAGATAGCATCCTCTAAGTCCCTTCCCTATGTGTGTTCTGGAGTTGTCACCAAACTTGGTGAAAGCCTCAGGAGACAAACTTGAAAAACCTGTTTACTCAGATTAAATTATTAACTAACATTCAATTTCCTTTAGTTTAACAGAGACTTCCCCACCTATAAGGAGGTACTGATTATATTCTCCAATTAATGGCCATAATTCTGTCATATCTTCAGTTACCAGGGAATGCTGCTTCTTGAGCTGTCCACAGAATCACAGCATCTTCCAGTATTGAAATATCCAAAAGATCACAGGGCCTTCATTTCAACTGTGTGAGGTTAAGTAATTTTCCCAAATATAAAACACTAAATTATGGTGTGATAAGGACCAGATTAAGTCTCCTGACTTGCAATCATGGTTATTCTAACACACACACACACACACACACACATACACACACACACACACTTGTCTGAAGTATGTGAGTGTCTTAAAGTGGGAGATGGTTGTTTCTACAAGGTTCAAACTTGTGAACACATTGCTGATTAGCCATAGAGCAGGCTCACAATAGGGAACCAATTAAAGTGTTAGAGATGCAACTAGATTAAAACTTTAAAGTACTGAATTAAAACAATCCTTTAATGAAGGAAAATATAAGTTTCAGAAGAGGCTCTTCATACAGAATCTCTGACCAGTAATTGCTGATGCTATTCACCTTTGATGCTGATTGGTTCTCTCCCACTGAGCTTACCCAATCAAGGGACAAAGAAATATCCCCTATGATTTGGGACTTGGGTGGAGGAGGGTCATAGTTCCTAATAAGTGAGACTTGCCTGCTCCTTAGCATCTGTCCTTTCCTGTTCTCCAGTATGGTGTGTCTGTGGTTCCCTGGAGGCTCCTGGATAGCAGCACCTCTGACAGTGACACTGATGGTGCTGAGCCCTCCCTTGGCTTTGGCGAGGGACACCCAACGTAAGTGCCCACACTAGATGTTGGACTATTGGGAGTTGGGGGAAGTTAACTTTGTCTCCGTGTCCAGGTTATGTTCCTTAAAAAATTGTGACATTTTCTTCAGGGACCACCTATCTTTTTTATAAGGCTTCCAAATTATTTCCACAACAAAAGGAGCCTGGCTAACGTGCCTTTCCTATGAGACCTGTGTCTTCTCAAATCTTCAATAAAGCATCTCCAGCCTGTATTACATTTCCTCAGGGTCTTGAGTGGATTTAAAAATAATACTGTTAAAATAAATTCCCCAAGTTATGCTAGAAAAAAATGAGGTTCCTCTGAAAATTGTATATATAATCAAAAGCAATTCAGAAGGTCTCTCCTAGAAGATTCTGTGTTATGTCCTTGACAGCATCTGTGGTGTTGGTGCCTCTTCTGGATGTATCAGGATGTATGTGTATCATAGGCATCTCCCATTATTCTCTTTCTTTTTTCCCCAAATGCCAATGTTTATGAAGTCTTTTTATAACTCAAAAAATAGTCACATATTGGCAATTTCATCTGAAATTTCAAACTATATGCCTTGAGTATGGTTACAGAGAAAATGAGAAGGCTTTAAGGTTTCATCCCATAGGGCTGGAAAGTCAACAAGCAAGGTAAGTGAGCTCATTGTTCTACTGCGGTCTTGTTTCAAATTTCACAAATTAGGGTTTACTCATCATGCTTTCTCTTTTCCACAGTTAGCCATGTCTGGACCTCCAGGACATAACACAGGATCTTCTAGGAGACCCTATTTTCTCTATCCCCCCCCAGCTATGTCATCATCATCACTGAAAATCCCTAATGTTTGCACAGACCCTCAGTGCTATGAGAGCCATCAAAAGAGATGAAACTTAATTAAAATTTCTCTCTTCCCTAAAATCATCATTTCCTTACCTATGACTCTTTCTTCTACTGGAAGGAGGCAAAAAAGGAAGTTGGCCTGAATTTCTCACAGGGAGTGGAAGGGATATAGTGTATCATCACAATGAAAGAGTGTTGGAGCTTGACCCCTTCTTGCTTTCTAAGATCCCCACAATGATCAATTCCCAGAATCCTCGGTTATTAATTTAGACCACAAATATTTTTCTGAGCAACTGTTAAGGTTGGGCTCTGTTCTAGGATCAGAGAATTCTATTTGAATAAGATAGAAAAGATCCTTGCTCTCACAGAACTTACCTATCAGAGAAGACAGAAAATAACCCAATAAACATTTAACAAAACAGAAAAATTATACAGCATTAAGTTCTCTGAAGAAAGACAACACAGTGATGGGGCAGCGAGAGTTGGATTCACCCAACTTCAGTTCAGGTGGTTAGTGAGTTCTCCCTCAAAAAGTTACATTTTGCTGAGACAAGAATAATGAGAAGATAGTCGTGTGAAATTATAAGGGACAAGAGTTCCAGGGAGAGGGAACAGGGGAAAGGCCAAAGTGAGGAAGATGTGTGCTGCCTTTAAGAGAAAGAAAGAAAGCTAGAGGGGCTGACATGTATCTAGCAAAGGGGTGGAGTGGCTTGAGATGAAGGAGGATGGACAGGAAGTCATGAGTCTTATTGCAGTAGGCCCTGATGGCCTGGGTAAGACATTTGAATTGTATTTAAACAGATATAGGAAGCTATTTGGACATTACAAGGAAAGTCAATTTATACTCAATTAAAAAAATAATTGTAGCTACTATATGGAGCTGGATAGTTGGGGATTACAAGTAGAATCAGGGAGACCTTTTAGGAACATGGCAAAATTCCCCAGGGAAAATAGGCTTATGGCTTCATTTAGTGAAGTAGTGATAAGACAGTGATAAAGAATGAAGTGGACATATTCAGAGTTATTTTTGCATAATTTGTGAATGCATCAAATGTAAGGGAGTAGAGAATCAAGCTTAATTCTATGGATTTTGTCTTAATAAATAGGTGGATGGTGATACTATTATTGACATAGGGAAGAATGTGGGAGGAAATAACGTGAAATAGGTAGTTAGAAATACAGGCTTTGCTTAAGTTTGATTTTTTTTTTGACATTTATGTAACGCCATCAGGAGGTCAGTTGAATATAAGAGATCAGAGTTCAGGGTGAGGCCATCATCCACCCACAGTACTGGAGTTCAGGGTGATGGCATCATCCACCAAGTACTGTGTTAAATTCCAGAAAAGTAGAAGAAGTTACATAGGGAAATAGATTGTGTGTATGAAAAGAGAAGAGGTCTGAGGGCCAAGCCAATGGCCAAAAGGCCTGCAAAAAATGAACTGAGAAGGAGTCCCAGTGATGCTGAAGAAAAACTAAGAGAACAATATGTGTGAAAGTCATGAAAAATAGATTTTTTTCAGGCAGGTAAATGGCCAGTTATGGTGAGTACCACTAAGTGGGTGAAGTGATAACATGAAAGAGAAATGAGCATTGGGGTTGGTGGACTTGACATTTGCTGTCAATGCAGTAGCCAAGATGGAAACTGGATGGACTATTTGACGAGTGATTAAAAGTGAAGGCAGAATTACAGTTGGCTCTTTTGAGTAGGTGGCCTCAGGGATGGAGTGTGCTCTGGGATCAGAAAGCCAGATGGACCTTTAAAGGAAAAGAATAAAAAAGCCGGAGAGAAGTGGGTGGACTTGTGACATTGAGGCATTAGAAAGGAAGTACTGGCTGGCTCTTGTATACAGTAATGATGGGATATGCAAAAAGTCATTAATTCATACAGCCAATACTTATTAGTGACTTAGAATATACCAGATGTTACTCTATGTGATGAAAATGGAGTTAAGAACAAAATAAATTTGATCTCTATCAGCACAGAATGTTGCAGTGACTGTATACCAAGTCTCTAAGTTTTGGTATGCACTTCCAATAACTATCCCATCTGTCCCATTGAAAAACATATACCTCTGCAGAATCTAAAATTCAAAGGCATAAGTAACTTACCCTATTCACAAAGTTAGGGCTAGAAATGTGATTGCCATGTAAGTCTGAGTATATAGAAAGTCCCTCTCTTCTATGTCAGCCCATTCTTTTTGTGTTAGATATTTAGATATTGCATTGTTATATATAACCAATGTTTGGGCCCTACATGTTCAAAATGATAATTAGTGATAAAATTAATAGAAGACAATTGTCAAATCATTTGCTTTACGGGCTAAGGAACAGAAATATAATGTAAGCTTTGCCTTTACAGTGATTATACAAATTAAAATGGAAATATACATTTGAGTGTATTATGTGATCAGTACTAAGAAGAGTCACTACTTAGTTTTACACTTAATAATAATCTTGTGAGAAATATGTTATTATTAAGTCCATTTCATAGATAAAGAAAAAAGATTCACAGTTGTGAAAAATTAACCCAAGTAGAAAAGGTTATGCATAAATTCATATTTTCTGATTTTAGAGCCTGAGATTCTAACTATCATTAATGAATGAATTACCAATAGAATTTCTGATGTTCATATGTGCCAAGGTGTGTTTTAGGATGAGAGAGAGATGCAAGGGATCTTGCATCCAATATAGGTAAATATATTTTTAGCTCCAATATATAGGTAAAACCTTAATTCATTTTTCACTTATTATTTGAAAAGTTCCATATGGGTTCACACTATGTGCAGACTGTCATGGGCATGTGTTGGAGAACACAAAGACATATGAAATATCCTTTTTCTTCTGAGGTTTTGCTATCAAGTTGGGTTAGTGCTGTCAAATAAAATACAGTGTGTCCAGTGAAATTTGAACTTCAGATAAACAATAATTTATTTGAAATGCAAATTAACAGAGTGTCTGTATTTTTATTTGCTAAATCTGGCAATCCTAAGTTGGGCACATGAGCACTGTAGTGACAGTGACATCAAGTTCACATGTTTTTAGTTTTAAATTTTTTCGTCTGTGAAGAAGGTACCTAGAGAATTTGTGAATAATAAAGCAGGTCTTGCCTGATCCAGAGAGCACTCCTCTCTGCCATCATCTTCACAAAGTACAGGGCCTTGCTCATTTTTTGTAAACTGTCTATGAAAATGTCATCGCCTTAGTTTCTCCTCTTCTGGGGGGGCTTGACTATAGAAATGAGAGATCTACATCTGGCCAAACCTAGTAATTTGATGCCTACTTGTATTGTTGAGAGCAGCAGACTTGAAAGTTAGAAAATGACTTAGTTGGGGCCTGGAACAGAAATAAAATGGCTGTGGCTGTAGTTTATCACTATAGATAAGTAGTTAGCAGACCAGTGGCTGAGAAATTAAGAAGGAAGATGATGGAAAAGATAAATGATATGACTTGGTGACTGACTGGCAAAGCAAAGAAATCAATAAACCTTGGTTCTGAACAAATTTATATTGTTGGAAAAAATAGCTCTGCCCTGGGACCAGATTCCTAAAAAACGTAATTTTTATGTAGGACCAAGACTTTTAACATATAAAACTGGCTGATTTTTCATTGTGATTCTCAGCAGCTCCATAATTAATAATGGCTTTTTCACCACCGATTTTTCAGAGGGTTTACACCAGTGGTTCTCACCAAGAATAGTTACCTTCTCCCTCCCCTCTTTCCTCCTTCCCCTCTTTTCCTCCCCTGGGGAACTTTGGGAAAGTCTGATGCCATTGACAGTTGTCATCGTTACCAGAGGTCACAGGGATTGGTCTGATTGGCTGGGTTCCAGGAGGGACGTTCCAAGGGTTTCAGGGAATTTGTGGAATTTCTTGGGACGGGGGTGGGGGGGTGGGGGGAGCTTTCTGTAGGCGGAGACTTCCTACAGGCTACTCAGTGGCAGGTTTTTACAAAATGGAGTCACTTCTGCCTCTCACTTCCATGTATTCATCTCACTTTTATTAATCACAGAGATTACTCTTTAACTTTTTGGCACTTGCACAATTTGATTTAACATAAAAAATATAGAAAATGTACATATGCATAATTTACACATATACGGAAGCTACAAAAGCACATGTGGCCAATGAAAGTTCAGAGACACCTTTGACCTCTCATCTCTTCAGGTCAGATTTGCCAAATGAGCTTTGGCACCAAATTAAAAAAACAATTGGATTTGTGCTTTCTGGATTTATAAAAACAAAAAGGGATTTGTGGACCTGTACTGGAATCATGGTTTAATCCCCTTCAACTTCGTCAGTGTAAATCCAAGATCCTAACACTGCCCACGGCTTTTTTTTCTAAGCTCCCGCCTCTTCCTCTTTCTGTGATTTCTCCGGTCTGATCTCCCCCTCCCCCCCTCACTCTGCGCTCATCGAACTTTCTTCTGGTTACTGGAAGAAGCGCATCAGTTCTCCCAGCTTCTCCTCGTGCTTCGCCCTCACCCGACACGGGCGTCCCCTCCGTACGAACGCGCCCTGCTCTGTCCCCACAGGCCCCCACCCCCGCCCCCGACAGCTTTCCGTCCCTCTTCCCAGAGCCCCTCTCGGGCACCTGGACGCGACTCAAACCACCATACTATTCTGTCACCCACCGCCAACTTCTCCTTCGGGTCCCTCAGTCCGGAGCCCTTGTGTGGTCACTGTGACCCCGCTGCAGCCTACAAGTGGGAGTGGCGTCCTCCCGCCCGGGCTCGGGGGACCCGGGACGCGTCCAAGGGTGAGGGAGGCGGGGGGGGGGGCGTTTGGGAACCGTAAAAGAAGACAATTTGGGGGCGGCGGATCCCACACTACTCAGGGTCCCTGTCGGGTCGGGCAGTTTGCCCCAGTCGCCCCTGGCTCTGCAGAGAGGACCGGAGCCCGCGAAGCCCCGAGAAGGTCCTGGCGCCCCCACCCCGCCCCGGGCGCCAGGACCGCGTGCGTAGCTGTCGGCGTCTTCCCAGGAGGCAGCCGTGTGACCAGGTCCTCCGTGTCCCCACAGCGCGTTTCTTGGAGCAGGCTAAGTCTGAGTGCCATTTCTATAACGGGACGCAGCGGGTGCAGTTCCTAGAGAGACACTTCTACAACCGGGAGGAGTTCGTGCGCTTCGACAGCGACGTGGGGGAGTTCCGGGAGGTGACGGAGCTGGGGCGGCCGGACGCCGAGTACTGGAACAGCCAGAAGGACTTCCTGGAGAGTAGGCGGACCGCGGTGGACTGGTTCTGCAGAGTCAGCTACCAGATCTCCGACCGCTTCCTGGTGTCCCGGCGAGGTGAGCACGGAGTGTCTGTGACAGAGACGGAGGGAGAGTGCGGGAGAGCGAGAGTCAGCTTTGGGCGCCTCCTGTGAGAGGCTGGGGTGCGGGGAGGCGGGAGGGTCAGGGCTGCTCCTGATGGACCGGGCTGGAATCGTGACGGGAGGTGGCGGCGGTGGGAGGCCAGAGGGGACCTTGACTGTGGGGGCCCTGAGAGATACCGGGGAATGTGAGGCACCCGGCGTTGGGCTGGGTGTTTAGCGGAGGAGAGAAGAGTTGGGGTGACGCGAAGAGGCTGATCTGATCTAGACTGTCCCGCACACGCCGTTCATGGCCCTGACATCCCCGAAATGAAAGTGTGCAGAGTCTGTAGGAGCAGGTGGTTCACGGAAGGTGTTAGACTAATTTTCACAGTGAGGAGACTTCTGAGACTCTGACCTTTCTGAAGCCTCTTTCAGTTCTAAATTCTTCCTGTTTTTATTTTGTCTTAGCGTGTACATTTTTACAGACTAATTGAAATGACTGAGGATCCAGCATTTGGAATTAAAATTTTGTTAGCATACTGTTACTATTTTGTTCTAACAGTATTTATGTAGTTACATATTATTACTGTATATAATTGTCTTGGCTCACATTCCCTTCTGTTTCCCCAATTACTCCCCAATTACAATATTGCCAAACAGTTGAAAGTTTGTCTCTTTTTAATTTTTAATTTGCATTTCTTTCTTTTTCCAGACGGAGCCTCAAGCTATCCCCCTGGGTAGAGTGCCATGGCATCACGCTCACAGCAACCTCCAACTCCTGGGCTCAAGCGAGTCTCCTGCCTCAGCCTCCCAAGTAACTGGGACCACAGGCGCCCACCACAACGCCCGGCTGTTTTTTGGTTGCAGCCTTCATTGTTGTTTGGCGGGCCCGGGCTGGGGATTCGAACCCGCCACCTTGGGTGTATGTGGCTGGCGCCCTAGCCGCTTGAGCCACAAGCGCCGAGCCTGCAGTTCTTTCATTTCTAAGACTCTTGGACATTTTGCATATATTTATTGGCTAATTGCAATTACTGCTCTAAGAAATATCTAATGTATATTACAGACAATAGACAATGTTTATTGTCCTTTATATCAGGGACGTTAGTACTTTTCTCAGTGATTTTGTAGGTTCTCTGTACAGTAAGATTATTAACACCTTGCTGATATTTGATTTAGCATATTCTCTGGGTTTTGTATGTATTTTGATTTTGAAATTATTTTCCACTTTTAGAATTTGAACATTTTTATTTAATGAAATATGTTGTAACACTTTTGATAATGATTTACAATCCATCTTAAACCTACCACTTTGTGGTATTGTAAAAATTGTTGTCTCCAGATTTCTCCTTCTTTCTTTTGAAATAATTGTATTTATTGAGAGTCTGCCATGTCAAGGACTGTCCTAGATGTTAAGTACACTTATTAATAACTTCCAGACCTTGCCCTGGCCTCAAATGCCAGGACAGAAAGACTTAAAAAATAATAGCTCTAATAATAGTGATGCTTGTCTAGCAACGGAGACAGATTGATCAGCTGAACGTAAATATAACAACTTTTCGTAAATGAATGCCTTTCCTTACTCCTTTCTCTCTCCTAGGACTCATTCTTTTCTAAAGACTCAGCTCACAAGGAGAGAATCACTTCTTTCTATTCCTCCTTCCAGGAGGTAGAACCATTTCTGTGTTGTTCTAAGGTGTAAGTGCGTGATCCATGTCCCCATCTACCCTATCCTGTCCCCTGGTCTATCCATACTGCTTTCTCTCAAAGTAGGACAATAAATAGCTAAGTTGAAGACTGCACTCAGTCCTTGTTTTATATGTTCTAGGGGCATTGATCCTCATAATCCCATGAGATAAATTAGTATTATTAGCCTTCATTTTCAGTGACAAAATTGAAGCACAGAAGAATTGAGAAACTTCCCCAGGATCAACCAGTAGGAGCCTGGATCTGAACCAGGCAGCCTGGCTCTGGGAATCACGCTGTTAATTAATATACTATATGCTTTGCAAAGATTTTCAGATAGTTTAAGTCAATAATAAATAATGTTTTCAAACTATGAAGAAAACAAATGCAATCTTCCTGAACATCTCTCACATCTAATAGGTCTTTGCTATAGAAATTAAATTCAAATCCATGACACTGTGAGATCACATGGCAGCTTTGCTGGAAGCTTGCCTGAGACTGAAGCCTGGGTTTAGAGAAAGACAGAAAGACAGAAAGACAGCCAAGCAGGGAGACTCCCTCTGTCTTCCTCACTTACTCCCTCTACCTTTTCTCCTAGTGGAGCCTAAGATGACTGTGTATCCTGCAAAGACCCTTCCCCTGCAGCACCACAACCTCCTGGTCTGTGCTGTGCATGGTTTCTACCCAGGCAAGATTGAAGTCAAGTGGTTCAAGAATGGCCAGGAAGAGAAGGCTGGGGTGGTCTCCACAGGCCTGATTCAGAATGGAGACTGGACCTTCCAGACCCTGGTGATGCTTGAAACAGTTCCTCAGAGTGGAGAGGTTTATACCTGCCAAGTGGAGCACCCGAGCCTGATAAAGCCTGTCACGGTGGAATGGAGTAAGAAGCTTCCTAACCTCATAGTTTTTCACCCACCAAGAAGAGGTCTTTGCTTATTTTTGAATGTCAGGTTTCTCCACTCCCACATCTTATTTTCATTTGTTCCTTGCTTTCCTCTGCTTCAGCACAAGTCACTGGGCAGAGATCTGTGGTAGTTTTTAGAAACTACTCATACCCCCTGGGGAAGCAATCTTGTCTGTCAAGCAGAAAAGATATTGTCCTTGTTTTGAACTTTCCCTCAGTGTCACAGGTCATGGTGACCCCTTGGTCCTGACATAAGACCTGCCTCTGGGCATGGCATGTTGCTCTGAGTTATTCCTGGAGATCTGAGAAGTGGAGCATGTAGGGGCTTCTTCATGGAAGGAGAGTTGGATCTCAGCTATCTTTTATTAGCTGTCAGTCTAGATGAGCTGCTTGACCTCACTGAGTCCCAGGCTTTTTGGTGTCAGACGTTGAAATCATGCTTTATGTCAGGGCAGGAATATTTGAATGAATTCAGTGCCTGAACCTTGTAGCTACTGAGTGGGATTTTAAAATCTCTTTCCCAGAAATGACCAATTATTTTGGTGCTTCCAAACAAAGTAAACTTCTTCCCCATTCTCAAAGCTCTGAATCATAGGGTCTCAATTAGAGCGGTTGGATTTGGGATAAAAATCACTAACCCTGGCTTCTTCTCTCAGGAGCACAGTCTGAATCTGCACAGAGCAGAATGCTGAGTGGAGTTGGGGGCTTTGTTCTGGGTCTGCTCTTCCTTGGGGCAGGACTGTTCATCTACTTCAGGAATCAGAAAGGTGAGGAACCTGCTGTAGTTGAGTCTCTTCCATGGGCTTTTCTGGAAGAAGAAATATGGTTTTGCTGAGGCTGGTTCCCAGTGGATCAGTGGCCTGTTATAAAGCCTTTCTTTCCCCAGTTGACCTCAAATTTCCTGAAAATCCTAAAATCAACAAATGCTGGTTACTATGTCAGAGCATAAGGGCTTATGGCCTGCAGAGAAATGAGAAAGGTTAATGTGTGGAGATCGGGCGGGTGGGGGCAGATGAAAGGAGAACCACAAAGGCTAATGACATTACACAGGGTCTGTGTGACAGACCCTTCATGGGTCACATGCTCTGTTTCTGCTCCCCTCCCTGGTGTGGGTTGTGGTATTAGAGAAATCTCATGTGAGAGGTCTTGGACTGGGGACATAGTATTTGGGGACAAATTTGATTCCCTATTTTTTAAATGTGTACATTTCCCTCTCTTTCTCAGGACACTCTGGACTTCAGCCAGCAGGTAATGCCCTTAATTCTTATTTAGAGACAGGTTCAGTTTCCTCAGAACAATGGTGAAGGTGACAAGACATGAGACAAGTATTGGGAAACAGTTTGAATCCAATTTCTACTCAGGCAGTAAAGCTGCTCTCCACTTGGAACAATCCCTGTGCTCTGAAGCAGCACTGGCTCAGGAAGACTTAATATTCTTTCTTTTTCCTGGGTGCTGTCACATAGGCTCTGCAGAGGGGAAAGGAAGCTGTTTGTAGAGTCTGAAAACAACACTCCTCTGTCTCCTGCAGGACTCCTGAGCTGAAGTGAAGATGTTGACACTCAGGGAGGAAACTTCTGTCCCAGCTTAGCAGCATAAAAGGTATCCTGCTGGGCTCCTGTTCTTCCTCACAGAGAGCACTTTCTCAGGACTTTGTTCACTCCTGTTCAGAGACCCTGCAGACAATGTCCTCCCTGGTGACTCCCTCAGCCCATGCCCTTGGTCTGGAAGTCCCAGTATTGGCTCAGTGTCTTATCTCTATTCTTTGCTGGTCTCCTTTGTATCCAGCCCTCTTGCCTCCCATGGAGCTGCACTCACCTTGTGCTGAACTACTTTATTAAATTTTTCTCAAATAAACATTGAGTGTGGCTCAGCGCCTGTGGCTCAAGTGGCTAAGGCGCCAGCCACGTACACCCAAGGTGGCGGGTTCGAATCCAGCCCAGCCCGCCAAACAACAATGACGGCTGCAACCAAAAAA